TCAATTTCAATCTAAAACTAAATTTTACAATGTAAAGATGTGCGAGATACTAAAGTAACAACCGGACCAATTACAATCTAAAGATGCGCAAGATACTAACGTAAAAATCTGGTCACACACAATCTAAAGATGCGCAAGATACTAAGGTAAGAATCTGATCAATTACAGTCTAAAGATGTGCAAGATACTAACGTACAAATCTCATCAACTATAATCTAAAGATGCACAAGACACAAATGTAATAATCTGATCAATTACAATCTAAAGATGTGCGACATACTAACGTAATAATCTTATCAATTGCAATCTAAAGATGCGCGAGATACTTTCGTAATAATCTTATCGGAAAGAGTTCCATATAACCCCATACATTAATTATGCATTCCATTTCATAAAGACCAAATATAAAGGTTTCTTTGCAACACTCTATGCATAATTAATGTATGGGGTTATATGGAACTCTTGCCAATCTTATCAATTACAATTTAAAGATGCGCGAGATACTAACGTAATACTCTGATTAATTACGATCTAAAGATGCGCCAGATAGTAATGTAAAAATCTAATCGATTAAAATCTAAAGATGTGCGAGATACTAACGAAAAAATCTGATCAAAAAAAAAAAAAACCCAAGATGCACGACAGATTCTAGCTTAGATATTCTGACGTTCGTATTGTAGGTATCTTAGTATTATAGTTCATTTTTGTTTTTTTTCATCTTTTCTGTGACCCAGTTTTTCAGGTAACGCACTTTAGCGTAAACTCCATACTTGTTAGGTAGTGCGCATCCGTGCCCCCAGCTGGTAGCCCCCTCGAGGTACCATTTACCACTGAATTCGCACACCATAGGTCCACCACTGTCACCTTGGCAAGCATCGATTCCTCCCATGTCAAGACCAGCGCAGATCATGGACTCATGAATGCTTTCTCCGTTGGCCTGCTGACATTGTGCGTGAGAAACGATCGGTACCGACGCTTCTTGGAGTTCATCTGGCTGTTCACCCCCGCTTTGCAACGTTCCCCATCCTGTAATGTAGCATTTCTTTCCCGGCACTAGGGACAGGTTTGCGTCAGGCAGGCATACGCGTCCTACACCCTTGTCGATCTTCGCACTTTCAGTCAGTTTAAGCAATGCGATGTCGTTCTGGAGATTATTAGGGTTGTAATTCTCGTGCGTAATTATTTTTTCCACTTGAATTTCTTGCCCGATGTCCGTAATTTTGTGAGCACCCATTCTACGGATAACAATCAAAACTGTATGCGTTAAACAAGACCTTGCATGAGCAGCACATGCATTTAGCCGGAGACTGACGATCGATGTCCAATATGCAGATTAACCCAACTAATAAGGAAAGCTGATAAAACTTTACTGCCCTTAATTCTATTTGATTTCTTACGGTCTCCTAATGTGAATTACCCCATGTTATGCTCACACGGTAGCTCTC